TTACGCTGCCTACCTAACCAATTGCGCAAAATGGCCAAGAGCTGGATTTGGACCCTGAATACCTAAATAGAAATTAAGGGCGGAATTAAGAAGCGTTTTTTCAAACGGTGTTTAACAAAATAAATGAACTATACTTTATTAATTTTTACTATTATCTGAATCTATTATGAAAATTTCAAAAGTAAAATATAAACAAATTATAATAAAAATAAAAATGAAACAAATCAACAACTTAATATGCTGAATAAACTGTTAACTTAAATCGTTAAAAAAGATTTAATCAAATATTTCTTGATAAAAACATAGATTAAAAAAAAAAAATCCTTTATAAAATATATTAAACAGTTTAAACATAGAACCACTGTGTAAAATATTTGAAAACTTTTTTTATCATACATTGACAAAAACTATGATCTAAACTAGATCATACGTTGAAACTGGGGTCTGGGAACTAAACTGGGGTCTGAATTAAAAATATCTACAAGCTGTATCCTGGGAAAACAATCAATCACTTAATTTACATCAATCTTGATATCTTGATGAACGTGCATTAGAGCTAGACCATTAAATCTACTCTGTGACATTGTGTTACGCAGGTAACTTTTTAAACAACGAATAACCGAGATTGATCTTTCGCAAGTGCACGTTGTTACTGGAATAGTTGCAAGAATTTGAATTAAAGTGAATATATTAGGAAAGGTAAGTTTATCAATGAGAAGAAGAAGTTTCGATAGAGTCTTTGGAAGGGAACCTTTAAAATTACGTCAGTAGTCTTACCACATATTTAATTCAGTCATGATATAGCGTGGTTTAGGAAGATCATCCCGTACTTATTAAAAAAAATTAAATTTTTTCTCCATTCAGAAACATTTAAAATGTTAGTGGGCGTTGCAAAGAATCCATTATAAACAGCAATGTTTTTATTAGAGAAACATAACTGAATCTGAAATGACAAATGGTAAGAAAAGTAATCGTAATAACATTTTAGAAGTACTCATTAATTAATTCACTAGGAGAATTATTTCGATTAAGTTGTTTTCCTATTATACGAGGCTTGTGCTCATTAACACCAACACTAGCTGCCAATACTACTGTTAATTTAGATGTTAATTTAAAAGCTATAATATCATTACAAATATTTATAAGCTCATTTTGAGCAGTTTTAGATTGATATGTAGCATTTTTAGGAACAGTAACAATTTGCCCATCCACCAAATTATTTTCTGCGTAAGTAGATATTAATCTTCAAATTGCTTGAAGATTACCTGAGTCATTATTTTCATTTTCATAGTAAAAAGAATCAATTCTGTATCCTCGGAGAGGTATGTTTTGTTTGCCACACATAATAATTGACAGAACTATTGGTTTTAATATTTTTCTATTTTTCCTGACTTGTTCATCAATTACTGAGTAGAGATTTAAATCAATGAAATTTATCTTTTATAGGCCAAGAGAACAAGAGAGCCAAAAGAATTGAAAAAAGCGGCCTGATTTATTGCATTCGAAATGAAAACTAGAACTTTGTTTATGAACATTTTTAAGTAAATCATATTTTTCTTTATTGTTTAATCTATTAATTCCGTAAGTTGCATAGAGCCAAACATCATATTTGTTTACAAAAGGTAGTTCACAAAAATTTCTAAAAATAGAAGAATTACTAACTGAGTTTTCAATTTTTTGTGGCTCGCTCAGGTAGTTAAGGTGCAAAAATATCAGGAATATTGTATTTTTTAGATGAATTTGTTAAAGATATTAGAGGGACAAAATGATTTCTGTTTACTGAAATTTTAGCTATTTAGAAAACTAAAAGTAGCCCGATTAAATCCTGAAGAGCAACGAAAAACTTTTTTTGAAGTGTTTAACACGAGGTTTAATAGTGCGATTGAAAAACATATCACAAACATGCTTCTCGACTTTTTTTGTATCATTTTCACCACCATAATATGACTTAATTTTAATTCCAATAATACTTGAGAGAGCGCACATAGTAAAAAATGAAGAATAAGAATAGTTTGTAGTAAATTGATGGACTCTGATATGACACTTGGTATTCTATTATTTTTACAATAGGAATCATATGCTTTTTGTGAAATAGTAATAGAAAAAACAGTGTTTTCATCGATGGTTTTTGATGGAATTTGTAGAATCATTTTGAGAAAAAATAATTGGATGATTTGAATAAAAATTAGCATTTATATATAGCTCGACACTAGTTAAACATCTAAAGTATTCTGACAAAGATTCACTGCCAATTAACGATATGGAACAAACATTAAATAAGCAATTTCCATTTGGAGTAGTTCTAATAATTTTCAAAACTAACATAAATGTTTAAGAAAAAAAACCAATAACTGATGACACCTATTAACTATAAATTAATATCTTAAAAGTTTCTAATAATTTTCAATGCTTTAGTACAAATAAATATACAAAAATGAATACTTATTTAAACTAGTAACTAATCTTTTTTTTTATTATAAAATATAATATAAATTTTTATTATAAATATAAAATAGTATAATTTATTTTCTTCAAAAACAAAGATGTTTTTCCTAAAACACACACACATGTACACAAATGAGTGTTGTGTGTCAATCAAATTAATATACACAATATACCATATAAATATACCACGTGTTTTGCTGTTTGAAAACTTTCTTTATTATTTTAAAAAATCTTACCTCACTGGTTAAAAATCGCTTCCTGCTCGAAATCTTTGACTCAAAGATTTCGAGTAGGAAACGATTTTCAACCAGTATTTTCAAGTTTTCAACCAGTATTTTCAACCAGTATTTTCAACCAGATTTTCAACCCTTATCTCAAAGTTTGAGATAAGGGAAACTGAATATGTGAAACTTCGCACATTTTATGAAATACACTTATTTTAGCTTCTTGATTAAAAGAAAACTTTCTCTTATACTATTATGAATCTTTTCTATAATACTAAACAAAAAAGATTCCTTTTGAGCTTGAACCATATTTTCATCTTAAAGACATTTCAAAACGATTTGAAGCATATAATCAGCCATATTACTTGTTTACAGCACTTAAATTCGTGAAAAAATATGGATTGAATAAAAAGATTTTTTTCGGTTTTAATTTCGCAGTAAAAACTTGCGTAAAGGGCCATTTGAACCCCTCTGGATCCGACCCTGAGGTGGTTGTACAAAAATGCCGTTTATTAATATAAAAAAAAGCGATTTTCGAATAAAATTTTCACTGTTTGATTTCTTAATAAATTTATTTTTAAAATATCTGGAATTTATTTTTAATATATCTAAAATTTTTAATTTTTAAAAATTTTTATTAATAATTTAAAAAATTTTTATATATAAATATTTAAAAATTTATTTTTAAAATATCTAGAAAAAAAATCAGAAAAAAAAAAAAAATTTTTTTTGAAAGGTTTTCCCCCTTAAGATAACAATTTTTTTTTCTAAAGAAAAATTAATCAAGGCGATACCAAAAAATTAATAACTTCTGTGTATAAGTTAATTTAATATGAGTTAATTTCATATTAATCCTAATAATTAATTAAAGTTCATGTTATAAAAATTTCTACAAGAATTTAGTTGATATTTTCGTCAATTTAAAGCATGATGATGTGTCATTATTTTGTGTCAGTAACTAAAATCGTTGAACTCAGGAATGTTGAACTTAGGAATGTCGAAGAAAATGGTTCTGCTTTACACCATGGAAGTATAAAACAGATGGAAGTTCATCGAGCCGCAAACATCAAAGCAATTTCAAGTCGTCTCGGGAGTATGCTTGTAACCGACAATAAAAAAAAAAACAAGTTTCACTGGATAAAAAAAAAAAAAAAAAAAATTCACTGAAATAACCTTTATTAAAATATTAAAAAATTAATTATTCTAGGGATATTCTGTAAATTTTTAACCATTAGTAATTGGAATTATTCAGCAAAAGGTTTATTAAAACTCGGTAATTAAATAGAACCACTTGATTTTAAAAGCATATGTTAGTTTAAGCTTTTTTTCTTACTTTAAGTCATAACACGACATTTGATAAAAAAGACAAGTTAAAAAATCAAAAAAATTGTTTTCTAAATAACTAAAGTTTAAAGTTTTATTAGCTGTATATAATAACTCCCTTCATTCTTGTATGAAGTACATTCATTTAATATGAAGTTTATAAAAAAGTTGTTGTTTGCCGTTTTGTTGCGCCTTTTTTTAATGTTTTTCTTAAATAATACTGGCGAACCTTTATTTTTAAATTATTAAAAACGTACCTATTTATGTCAACGTATAAAGATTAGGCGTTTAAGTACAGTCTTGATGTTGTTTTCCTATTGTTTACGAAACAAAAGGTTACGAGCATAGTCCCAAAGAATTTCAATGCAGTTGAACTTCCATCTGTTTTATACTTCCATGCTTACACTGATATGACCTATGTCAGTTGTAAATTACGCAAATAATGTTAAATAATAATTGGTAAATTATTTTACCTCCTCATATTTTTAATGTTAGTTTTACAGATGTAATAATACATAACCCGTATTACGGGTTGCTTTCTGCTGGTATTAAATGATAGTTTTATTATGACTTTTTTTTAGTCCAAAACCCTTCTCCCAGGAACATATTATCAGTTAGTAGATAATATATCGCTTTTTTTTTAAAAGCAGGCCTGTACTATGAAATATGAGGCAGATCAGAATACCAAATAAATATTTATCTTGATTTTCTTAACAAAATTTGCGCACAATCGGTACAAAAAAGTACCACATCCAACGACCCCGACCCCACTCCGCTTCCACAGTACGGGCATATAAACGTCTATTAAATTGTTATTGTAAAAAGCTGTATAAAATAATAAAACAGTATAGCAAAGTTTTTTGATTCATTTCACAAGTTTGCATTAATATAAACATATCAATTTATTTTATGTTGTTTTACACAGTTTTAATTAAAAATATAAAACGCGTTCAAAACGAGAAACTCCGCAACAAACCTAGAATTATTATTATTTTAATAATTACCTAACAACCAAAATGGCTGTAAATGCACATTTTTACATTTTTTGAATTTAAATAAATTGAAATTGCATTTTTCTAATAAATGAAACAAATAATTAAATTAAAATAAATGAATACAACAAATAAAACTTAAATTATAAAAGTTGGATGACTTGATTGTACTTTTCTTTAACAAAGACAAAATAAAACACAATGGCGAATGCTAAAAAAGGTGGAAAAGGAAAACTTGCAAAAATGACTGAAGAAGAAAAACTTCTCCACATAGAAAAAATTTCAATTGCTGCTGAAAATAAAAGAAAAGAGAGTGAAGAAATAGCATTAAAACAATTAAAAGAGAAACTTTTACAGGAAGAAAAGAACACAAAAATTAACTCTTTAAAACTTCAATCGCAATGGAGAGTTATTATGAGAGAAGGTTTGAGTTTATTTTTAATAATAAGAATAAAAAAGTAATTTAATTTTTAATTTAAATAATAATTAACATTTATCAATTAAGAATTATCAGGTTTTAATCTTTAAATACTTATTAATCTGTAATAAACAGGTAAAATTAGTGTTCAGAAATGTTCAAAAAAATTAAGTTCGCAAATAAGTGTTTAGATTGAGAAAAAATAATTTTCCCAGAGATTAAAGTATATAAACCAACTTGTAGGTATAGTTTATAAAACTTGGTATCAATTATGTGATTTGTGCTTCCAAATATGTACTAGAAACTTTATTTTGTTAAATATATTTCTGAAATTTATATTTTTAGCTGATATGTTTAAAGCCAATTTTTATTACTTTCAATGAGTTATATGTTACATGTTACCAGCTTAAATAATAAAAACAAATTTCATTTCAACTAAAAATAAGCATGTTTAGTCCTAACTTTTATCTATTTGAAACAACAGAAGTACCCGAAGGCCACTTATACTGCAGTATACATTAAAACAATTTAATAAATCTGTGTTAAGATTGAGAATATTTCAGACCAAAATGCATTATATAGAGTTGGATAAGATGATTTTTAAACATCGATACAGTTAATGCAGATACTACATTTTCCAGTAAACTATTCCACAATTTGAAAAGTAAAACTTTGTACTGTTAAGATTAAATCGGTGTTTGTAAAGTTTCAAAGCCTGACCCCAAATACCTGAGTAAGAGGTGAATTTAAAAACATTTGATAAGTCCATGACCGCTTTACCAATAAGAACTTTGCAACAAAACTAAATCATTATCTTATTCATTTATTAACAACTCAACAAAAACAACAAATCATTAATTTATTAACAACTCAATGATATTCAAGCAAGTGGAGTTTAAGCATAGCTAGATATTTATCATAGGATACTGACCACAGACCAGCTATTCTCTTAGTAAAGAACCATTAAACTTTCTTAATTTTATTAATTTGGCATATAGTGTAAGGTAACCATACCAAAGAACAGTATCTAGCACAGAGTGTACATAAATATAGTAGGCTTTTACCGTGATTTTTTATAGTGATCTATTTCGTGAATGATAAGCTTTTAGAATTGGATAGACTCTCAACATAGCCCTATGTTCAATAAGATAAATATGCTGATCAAATTTCAGGTGACTATTGATTGTAATTTTAAGATCACTAATATTATTATCATGATCAAGTTTCTGGTTATTTATACTATAGACATAATTAGTTGAATTTTGATTCCGGTTAGTAATGGTGCAAACAAAGCATTTTTTTATTGCCAAGTACAAATCCAATCATACAAAGGTGTAACAGCTGTGGTAAGGTCTGACTGAGAGATCTGTATATCATAAGTGGAATATAGTTTTATACCATCAGCATAAAGTTTAAGTTTAAGTATTTAATTTTGTGTTTATGATAAAGTCAGTTAAATCAGAAAAGTACCAACCTTAAATTTTTTAAATAGTTAAAAAAAAAAACGAGGAGCCTCCTCAGGGGCCACTATGGGCCTTCGGTGGGAAAGTGTATAAAGTAAAATTTTAGTGCGCGATATTTTGTTCTTTTTCTTTACTTGATTAACTGTAATTTGTCAAGCATTTTTTCAGCAGATATTTTTAACTGCATAAAAAATAATTGTTGAGGTAAATATGGTTGTTATTCAAATGAGCTAGTTCCACTAACCTAATTTTATGTTCTATTTATAATTAATTTAGTTTGCATATTTTTGTAGAAAAGTACTTATGTGCTTAAAAAAATATATTCATTAATTTTTTTTTCATATATATATATATATATATATATATTTTTTTTTTTTTCTCCTTTTCCCAGGGTTAAATATATGGTTAGCATATTCCATAGTTATACTCTAAATAGCGCATGCTTTTTTTTTTTTTTCAACATCTTCGCTTCCAACAAGGCTGCAAGCAACCACTGATTAGTGTTGGAAGTTACTGGAAGAGAAAAGATGAAGATTGTAGAGCTAGATAACAATTGACAGACAACTTAAAAGATTGCAAATTATATGAATCAGGAAAGCAAGATGGAGGAAGTGAATTCCAAAGAACTGATGTTCGAGGAAAAAAACTAGACAAATAAGAGTTTTTGAAGCACTTAGGAACAGTAACAGAAAAAGGATGAGACTTAATTGAATGATGAGTAACACGAGAATTAATTTTAGTAGATCACAAAAGAGATGCTAGCTCTTTAGAGCAGTGCCCATTATAGTATTTGTAATAAAGAGAAAGAGAAAAAACATTACGACGATGTGACAAAGGTTAAAGGTTAGCTGCAAGAGCAGGTCCAACTATGTTTACAATGCGTTTTTGCACTTTGTCTAAAAGAGAAAGGGCATCATTAGAAGATCCGCCCCAGATATGGCAACAGTATTTCATACAAGGCGGGATTTGAGATTTATAGAGATAAAGAATAGAATCCAGAGTAAGAAAGTGTCAAGCTGGATAAAGAGATGCAACTTTAGCATTAGATGCTAATTTTGCAACGGATTTAATATAAGGTTTCCAAGAAAGATCAGAAGTAAGAGTTAATCTCTGAAGATGAAGACTCATCGAGCACATTACCGTTGACGACTCATCGAGCACATTAGCGTTCATAAATATAGGAAGGTCTAAATTATTGCGATAACGATTGGGTGAAAAAAATTGAGTCTTATCTGAATTAAAGTTCACCAGCCACTGTCAGTCCCATGCTGTAGCAGAAGCGAGATCCTTTTCAAGCTCAAATGCCCCCTGCAAGCAATCAGAGGAAGTTGGCTTCTTATCGTGACAAGAATAAATGGTAGTATCATCAGCGAACAATGCCACCTTAGATGTGAGAATATCTGGAAGATCGTTAATGTAAATTAAAAAAAGTATAGGGCCAAGGATTGAACTTTGAGAAACCCTTGAGGTTACAGAATAAGAAGAAGAGTACTGTCCATCAAGGACAACTTTTAAACTATGATTGGAAAGAAAGGATTCAATAATCTTAAAGATGTTTCCAGATACACCGTAAGAAGAAAGCTTATGGAAAAGACCAACATGCCAAACTTTATCAAACACTTTAGAAATGTCAAGAGCAATTGCCTTAACCTCTCCACCTTTATCTAATGCGCAATAAAACCTTTCGGGTATTACTGTTTGCAAATCAGCCGTAGAACGAGAAGATCAAAATCCATATTGATGATTAGAAAGTAAGTTATTAGATTCAAGATGAGAGATTAAGTGTTTGTTATTTAAAGGTTCAAAAATCTTGCTTATGATAGGAACAAGAATAATAGAACGGTAATTAGATGAATCAGATTGCTCTCCAGAATTTTTGAAAATAGGGATAACAGATGCTGCTTCCAGCAGGCTGGAAAAAAAGACTCTGATAAGCACTTGTTAAATAGTTTTGAAAGGATAGGCGACAGCTCCGTAGAACACTTCTGCAAGACTATAACAGGTATGTTGTCCGGGCCACAAGCTGTAAATGAGTCTAAGCAGGAAATCACTTTAGATACAGAAGCTGGAGTGATATGGATGTTGAGCAATAGATCAAACTGTTTGACACCTACATCAGGTAGAATGCAACTATTGGAATCAAGAGATGATATTGATGAAAAGTTCTTAGCAAACAATTCAGCTTTGATTTTAAGTGAGGTGACAAAGTCTGAACCATACATAAGAGGTGGAATTACAGACTTGCCTTTATTATTGATACTATTAAAGATTCTCTAGAAGTCCCGAGAGCCTAATTTTTGTGATGAAATTAGAGATTTCATGATCTGAGAATAGTGGGCTTTTGCGTTAGGCAAAACCTTTTTAAAATGGTTCCTAGCAGTAATAAACAGGCGTCTGTTTTCTGGAGAATTGTTTTGCTGATAGATATGGAAGTAATGGTTTCGATTGGCAATTGCAGCAGCTCAATGTGAGGAAAACCATGGAGAAGAGTGAGGCTTGACCTGGAATCATCGAGAGGGAATAAAGGATTCCATGCCAGACTGAATCCACAAAGTTATGTAAGAAGCACATTTGTCAACAGGAAGACGAAAGATTTCTACCCAAGGGCCATCACGAAGAAAATCACGGAAAGAGTCCCATTCAGCTGTAAGGTAGTTGTAAGATGTATGATGATAGGGGGATTCTGATGATAGAGAAGAATGAGATAATAGTTTTAGAGAGACCAAACCATGATCAGAAGCACCTAAGGGTGAATGTGGAGAAACTGAGCACTGACTAGGATCGGAAACAAGACATAAGTCGAGTAGATAAGGTAAATGATTCGGGTTGTCTGGAAAGCTAGTTGGAAAGTTGACTATTCGAGTTAGGGATTGAGAAAGGTTGGGGGCTTTAATGCCTGCAGAGTCACTGACTCTAGAGCCAAGCCATTCAGTGTGATGAGCATTAAAGTCACCAACAACAACAATATTGGCTGATGGATAAAGAGAGAGGGCTTGGTCAATATGATCAGAAATAACATCAAGAAGGGTGGAGTCTTGAGATAAAGGAGAGCGATATAGAACAAAGAAAAAGGTGATAGAGTGAAGTGGTGCTAAACAAAAGCGCATAAAAGAGTAGTCTGTGGATTTAAACCTAGTTTCCCAACAAATGGGTGAATTCTTACAAACGTAAATGCCTAGGCCAAGCATGTGAGTATTGGAGTCTTTATGAATTAAAGGAAGATAACCATCAACACTAAGATCACAAGATGAGACAGCCGAACTCAAATTAGTCTCACAAAGAGCAAGTAGGTCTGGTGAACTTTGCAAGAGATAAGACTCAACAGAAGAAAAGTTACTTCAAAGACCACGAATATTGGTGAATGATAGGTTTAGCGAACTTGGTGATGACAGTGGTTTTTTGTGTTTTATAGTTTTTGTTACTTTATTCATTTTTAAATTTGTTAAAGGACTTGACTCGAAACATAGATAGTACTCAGTACACTGCTTTATAGCCCAAGCAATTCCCTCCTTACCACTAATAAATCCTAAGCCGTAACAAAGAGCTCCAATGTGGCCTTGGCAATGCACACCAAAAGTACAACCAGGGACACCATCCATGCACAACATGGCACAGTTAGTACTTTGATATTTTTCAGCTGTTGATGGAATCAGGCTCTCTGAGAGCTACCACAGAGTTCGAGAAACCTGACTACCAGCCAGCCTCAGAACCCTTAAACTGAGTTTTAGAGCTGTACCCTCATTTGGAGATAATAGAATGAGTTGCCTAGTCATAAAAACAGAGACACAAGCAAAACCCACGCATCGAGTCAAGAAGATCCAGCGTTCAACATCCTAAACTGGAAACAATCTATTAGAAACATATCTGCGCCAGCCTAATAGATGAAAAAGGGGCGCGAGGCTGATCAACAGATAAAATCTATTTACCCCTTAAGTCTTTGCCTAGGAAGCCTTCTACAAGACAGCAGCCGGATGCATTTAACATCTACCCAAGATGAGTATTTTTATTGAGACACCATCTCTAGCCTTTACTCAACCAAGAGCCCCAAGGCAGGGGGTGTTTTATGTCGGAGTTGGCATTTCCTTCCCTTTGCCTAAAAAGATGTATCCTACAAGGCAGCAGGACATGAAGCAGATTGTACTGGGTTACATGTTACCAGTAGCAGGATAAACCTGACCTGACACAATATAGTCAGGTCAGGATAATAGGTCAGGATAAACCTGACCTGACACAATATATAGGTAATGTAATTGGTCAGGATAAACCTGACCTGACACAATGTATAGCAGGATAAACCTGACCTGAGCACAAATCTAATAATACCTGAATTTATGAAGGTACTTATTTAATGCATGAATATCATTTAATAAAGGTATTGTGCTGCAAAACAAAAATCTGTATGTATAAAAACAGAAAATTTTTTTACTTTGTTTACATGACTTACAAGAAAGCAAACGTTTTTGTAAGCTTAAGCATTATTTGAGCTTCTTAAAATTTTTTGCATAAGCATACACAAGCCTGTTTCGTAGTTTTCATATGCTTCTAAAAAAAGATAAGCATTTTTCACACTTGTAATAATCAGTGGTGTGTAGTCCTAAAAAAAAAGTAACGACTCTGACTCCAGTTGTTGAAATTTTTTGAGTACAACTCCGACTCCAAAGCAAAATTTTTTGAAAAACTCTCTGAATTCTTTAAAAAATATTACGCGATAAATTAAAATTTTTTTTTGACAACTTTATGAAACGTTCTTTGAGGTTTAGTATGAACATAAGGTTAATTGAATGTTTTATACATACACGTGCAATACTGAGAAGTTTTACTATTGGACATTTTTAGCGGAGTCGGAGTCGCTAATTAAAATTGCGACTCCGACTCTGCTAAAAATGTCGCAACTCCGACTCCACAGCCCTGGTAATAATATTACATAATTTTGGGATTATCAATAGATTTATTAAAAAACTTTATATAAATTGGGTAAAACTTTCCATACAAGTTGATCAAGTAGTGACGTAATGAACATTTGTTTTCAGAAAATTTAGTTTTTTTCAAATTTTACAGATACCACTTTTGGTACACCTTAATGTAAATTGTATACATATTAATGATACAAATTTTATTCATTTTAACTAACTGTTAAGTAGTAACACCACCTAAAATAGTATCAAGCAGATCAAAGTTGCAAATATGAAGTTGTATATGAAAAAAACTAAATGTAATGAAAATCTTAGATATATTTTTAAAGTTTTAGGTAACATTTATTAAGTAAATTAAATTGATCCCCACTATGTCCCTAGCAGTACCACACTCAACTTGTTTTTCAACACATTGGCCTTGTTTTTCAAGGTTCAATTTTTGGAGTTATAGAGTTGAGAGAGAGAGAGAGACTGCAGAGAGAGAGAGACTGCAGAGAGAGAGAGAGAGACTTGACTGCAGTGGCCTTTGTAGCCTTGGAGGTGAATTGAAAAAAAATAAAAATAAAAAAATCAATATTAACATGATGTTATTATAAAGTTTTTAATGATGTCATGAGGAAAACAGCAACTATATTACTCTTTTCCTCATGACATCATTAAAAGAGAAAAATGCGTAATTATGCAACTTTAAAGGGATTCCCAACTGCCGAGACAAATTGTGTTCATATTAAAGAAAATGTTTAAAAAAAACATTCGGGCAAAATTTTTTTGACTAAAACTATATAATGAATGCACACCATTAAATTTAAAATTCACGTTTTAGTCGAAGCTCGCCGTCTCTATTTTTTTTTGGTTATCGGAGTCTGTATAATGTGTTTAATTCATAACAGTTTCTGTATATTAAGTCAGGGTATAAATTTTTTTTTTTTCAAGATGCTGTATTATTTTTTTGCTAAAATCACCAAATCATGTTAATTGTATAACTTTTTACTAAATCCCAAAAAAAGTTTATGATGCAGTTAAAAATTAAATTTATAAAAATAAAAATTTAATATATAACAGATATTTACAGTAAACATAGTGGTTTAAACTAAATATAAGCTAGATACTAAAAGAATAATTTTACAAAAGCGTATAAATTAATTTAAAGTATAAACTGAAAAAAAAAAGAGTGACTTGAATAAAACATATAAACTGAACTAAGTAGAAAATAAATATTAAACGACTTATTTTCCTAATAACCGTTCAAATCTAACTAAATTAAAGCTAAAACAAGTATTTGTACTAAAATATACAAAAAAGTGTATAAAATATAAATATAAAAACAAAGAATCACATTAAATTGTTCACTACCAACCAAACAAAAATCTTTTTGTAGCAACCAAACATTTTTTTGAATAACATTTGAATAGCATAACATTGACAATTAATTAAAATTCGATAATAATTGTTTTTAACACGCATCATTAAACAATAATGCTTAAAACTATTGTTTTTGTAAGTAGTAACTAAAACATTAGTCCAAAACAAACCTAATTTAATGAATAAAAATAATATTTTTTCTTCAAAATACTTTGGTAATTACTTAACTAAATACTTAACACTTCTACAAGTTAAGTGTTTATGCTGTTTTATTTTATAACTAAATTTAAAGTTTTTTTAAGAAGGATTTTTCAAGATTTTTTAACTTTGTAATAACTTTTTTATAATTACACAATATAGCTCTTTTTTTTCTTGATTATGCAGAGAATTATTAAAACCTCCAGAACAAACAAGTTCTATGTGTCTAAAATGGAAGTTTATATGTAAACAAGATAAATTGTAAAGCATACTCGAAAGCCGCTACCAGTGGCTTGCGGTAGTGAAAGAGTTAAACCATAGAGTGAAAGAGTTAAACCAGTTAAACCATGTAAATTAAACATAAAACGAACAACTCTATTGAACCATATGAACTAAATATAAAACGAAAAAACCGCGTCATACTGCCTTTATTTTTTTTCTGCCTGCGAACTCGAATAATCACAAGATATGTATAATTGTGTCATGATTTTGGCTGGCTTCTACAACAAAGTAAAAATAAAAAGTTTATGTATGTATATATATATATATATATATATATATATATATATATATATATATATATATATATATATATATATATATATATATATATATATATATATATATATATAAATTAGTAAATTAGTAGAAAATCACTTGACAAAATTTTTTTTTTATATATATAAATGTTTTTTATAATTTTTTACTGTCACAAATATTTTTTGTGAATTAGTAAAAAACGCTATCTTAAAAAGATATTGCGATGACATCATATACTGAAACTGTTATGAATTAAGCACGCATTGAATAAATTATCAAGTCTGCAAATTGCGGCTAAGATTATACTGATTTCGAGAACCAAAAAAAATGGAGACGGCGAGCTTCTACTAAAAGGATAATTTTTATTTTGTTGGTATGCATTCATTATTCAGTTTTTTTTTAACATTTTCTTTAATATGAACATAACTTGTCTTGGCAGTTAGGGATCCCTTTAAGTGAAAATTAATTATTCAAGCTACAAGTGAAAATAAAAGGAAAACATTTGCATTTTAAAGTTACTATAAAAATAATTTTAGGTATGTATAAAAACAATAAAATGATAATAAAGTTAATTATAATTGCAATAATATTAAATTGTTTAGAAAAAAGATTTTGAAAATACCAACTTTTTAAATTAAGTATAAAAAACCACATTTTAAAAAACTGTTGCTGCCATAACTCTTTCTCTTAACTTGTATTTTGATTATTTGTCTTATTGTTTATAAAGATTTATTTTTTTTCAGCGAAATCTTCTGAGTTAAAGAAAGATATTGAGGTTTTGAACCACACATTTGATAGAATAGTTGATCAAAAAGATTCTATTATTAAATCGTTACTTAAAGATATTGAAGAAGCTGAAGATCAACACCAGACTGCAATTAAAAGTCATCTTTATAACTTACAGAAACTTTTAGGTACATTAAATATATTGTTTTCTAAGTAATGGCAAAAGGAGGTGTGATTTAAAAAAATATCTACTAAAATCTGTTATTGTTTACAGAGTTTCAAAGTGTTCGTTTATTACAAGCTGATGAGGATTTCGCTAAAGAGTTTGATGCTCTTAATGATGAGTTTAAAAAGGAAAGGTAATTGTGCTTTTTTTTTTGCTTTTTTTTTCATAAAAATTATATGTATAAATTCTTTGGAGTTAGGGTCAGCATTCGGAAATGTTAACCTAACTGCCAACCTAAAAGTGTCTGAGGTCATCAAAAAATTGCTGACCTTGTTTTGTGGTAAAATCTTTGTGTTAAAATATTTTTGTTAAAATGTTTTATGGTAAAATTTTTGTGTTAAAATATTTTTGCCGACTGGATATTGACTTCTAACTGTTTAAGGTCGGCAGTTTTTGCTAAACTAATTTTTCTTAATTCTGAGGGATATATCTGGATTATATAAATAACTTTGCTTATAATAATAAGAAATCTGAGCAGGCAATAATAATGGCAATAATATGGTCAGAGTGATCTCTTAAGTTTTTAAAATTGAAACAACAAGTGCCATTTTCCAGTAGGCAGGAAAACAAGGTTCTGTGAACTTGTTAAAATATTTTAAGAGTAATCAAGTTTGTTCTGGAAAATGTTTTTGCAACAGAAATGTTGTCTAGAAGATTTTAAGTTGGAAATAACTTTAGCAGCGTAAGCAGGAGAAATTTGGATGTGTAACAGTAGATTAACTTGTTTCTTTGGGATGACAGGAAATTTGTTGCTATTCAAGAGATGAGTTATAGAAAACATATTTTGCAAATAGTTCTGTCTTATCCTCAGGAGAAGTAATAAGATCAGATCCATAATGAAAGATTAAATATGAAACTTTTGATTATTAATGATATTGTTAAAGATTTTCCAAAAGTCTCTATGACCTAATTTCTGAGATAAAATATGAGATTTAGTAATTTGAGGATAATGGACATAAAAGAATCCAAGCCAATCTTAAGGTAATATTAAAAAGTCTGATGGTAAGGTGAATCTGATGTAATCTAAGTTTGAGATCAATTTTTTAGTGAGATTATAGCATGATAAACACATCTAAAGGAGAACTAGGAGAAATTAAGCATAAGCTAGGGTCAGAACCAATAAACAAATCAAGGAGCAAAGATAAGTAATTTGGATTGTCTTGAAAATAAGTTACAAAGTTAACTATTTGGCTATGAGGTTCCAAAAAAACAAAAGTTTTGAGCTTTAGAGCCAGCAGAGTTAGTGGTACCATAGAGCCAAACCATTCAGTGTGATAAGCAATAAAGTTACCAATAACAAAATATTGCTTAAAGAAAATGAGAAAAGGTTTGGTTAGTTTAATCAGACACCCGGTTTTACAAGAAGTTAATACAGACCTAGGTTAGTAGCATTAATTTGACATTGGTGGAATAGACTATATATGTAATTTTGACAATTGGCTGCTCATTGACTAGATCAATCTAGGTCTACAAGTAGCCAGGTTTTGAGTTAAAGAACATAAAGATTTGATAGTAGAAAAATTCACCTCTGATTTCAACATAAATCAGTGTCTTTCATCTTAAAAAACAAAAAATTTTTTTTTGACATGTATTGAATTTCTTTGCAATGACATCGCAAATGGTAGAAGCATTTATTTAACGGTGAAAAGAAAAAAAGAAAAAAAAAGGAATAAAAAAGGTTAGTTAAAAATAAAGTAAAATGAGAAAAATATTGAAAGGTATAAACTAACATAGACTGCATCTTAAATATCACATTACTTGTAATAAAAAAATATAATTTGTTAATTAAAGTGATTATTGTGTCATTTTTTATCGTTTATTAGATTTTTTTGACATACTGGAAAAAAAAGCGACTTACATAATTGTACAAGTAGAAATATTTCCAATTGCAGAACTTGCAAATTAACAGACACATTTAACAATCGTTTATATTATTGCCAGAGATTGCATAACAAAATTAGTATTTTATATTTCTTAATGAAAAATAAATAAAAAATTTGAAATCTTATTACTCATTTTGACTTAATACTTATAAAATTTCTTAATTTTTTTAAAACGTAATTATTCAGTTATAATAAATTTTTTAGTTAATTAAAAAAAATACATATCTACAAGTTGATGATTATCTTGTAGATATGTATCTTGTAGATATAAAATATTGTTTATAAATTTTCAAAAATAGAACTAATTTGATTGAACAACACGCAAAAGAAATGGAAGAGATGGCAGACATATTGTTTACTATGGAACATGACTTTGAAGAAGCTGAATCAGATGCTCGTCAAGAATTCCATAGCTTATATGACGAAGTTAAAAATAAGGTTTTTAATATTTTCTGATTAACTTATTATAACTTTTACAATGAAATTTGGATTCCATTCCGAGATTGTTAAACTAAATATGTTTTAGTAATAAAGGATCACCCCCTTCTCCTTCTCTATATATCTTTTCTCTATCAAGATCTTATAAATATAATTAATAAGAGATACAAACATTTCCTTAACATTAAACTGTATTTTTAGCAAAAACTTAACAAGCTATCATATATTTATTGTTAATAAAACAATATTTTTTAAAATTTGCACATAACCTAGAATAGGTCTTAAAAGACCTATCTGGGTTATTTTTTTTTAGACATCTAAAACGCCCTGTACTGGGAAGGTAATATTATTTATAACAGAATTTAATCTATTTTTTAACATTAGAATTTAGAGGAAAAGCATGCTTTAAGAATACAGTTGGAAGGTCAAGTTGAAGAGCTGTGGAAGAGTTTTCAAACAGTAATTTTTTTCTTCTTTTAAGCATTTCTATAACATACATCTGTTTTTCACAATCTATTTATCATAATCTGTTGGAGTAATTAAAAAAAACTTATTTGTTTAAGTTATAAATTATGAAAGTTATTATACAATAATAAAAAAATGTTAAGTTTATGGTTTAAACAAGGCTTTAAAAAACTATAACGACCAAACAGAGGAACGCAAAAATGCTTTTGAAGCATTGAAAATAAAAGATGATAGAAACACACAAGAAATGGATATGCAGATGAGGAAAATACAAAGAATTCAGGTATCTTGATTAAAAAGTTTGTTAATACTTTTGTTAAATCATCCTACCATAAAACTAGTCTTAAAAATTTTTGTGTAATAGGTAATAAGAGTGTTGAATAAAAACAACTGGTTATTTTCAAAATATTATTTAAGATGCCATCATATAAAATTAAAATATCTTTTGTATTATGTTTTTAGGACAGAATAAGTCAAGTCAAGGCTAAAATGGCTTCAATTACAAAAGAATATGAAGAAAAAAATAGAGTTATTAAAGAGGTTGTTATTTTTTTACTGTTTGTAGAACAATTTTTTTTCAATAAATTATTTATTTTTTAAACATTGACATACTCTCAAACTTATTAATGGCTATGAAATTTAGAGCATTTAAGAAGTTTAAGAGAATGCTACATTTTTTTTTTTTGTAAAATCGTTTGTTAAATGAATGTCTAAATATTGCTATTAAAATATTTATACTTTTATTATAGAATTTAGACTGATATGTATATAATAATTTTTTAAAAAAATACTAAAAATGAACCAAATTAAGTTCCTGTTTACTCCAAATGCAAATGTATATGTTTAATCCTGGTCAAGTTGTCTTACTGTATATGTCATTTTAAAAGATTTTATATTTTCAGGCATAATTTTTGCTGCAATTATTGCACCATATGGGACCCATCTTTTACCCTGTTCAAATCACAGCCATAACCCAGTTCCAGTAATCCAGTTACATCCAAGCTGGGACCCAGTTGACGTGGTTATCTGGACAGTTAATCATTTTTATTATTAATTACTATTATTTACAAATAATTTGCAATATAAATTATTTAAATATTTCTTCATATAAAACCTTATACTACAAATTAAAATTTTAGTTATAATATTATAATATAACTCAAATTATAAATATTATCACTTTACAAAACATAGTATTACTATCTTTTGTAAAGTGATAATATTACTATTAGTAAGGTGACACTGCTATATAAAAACTTTAGATATCATTTGTAAATGCATAATATAAATGTAAGATTTAACATTTTCTATAAGTTATATATTTGATAATATATTACTATATATTTATATAATAATATATTTGATAATATATTACTTATACTATAAGAAATATATTCATTATATTACTTATAAAATATGTAAAATCTTACATTTAATAAATGTATGATTTTAATTTTTTTCATAAGCATGTAAAACTTACATATTATTTATAAATACATAAACCATTTATTAAATGATTTATGTAAAAATAAATAATATGGAAAGTTTACATATGGCAGTGTTACATAGTAAAACTTTGCTATGTTTTGTAAAAAAAAATTGTCAAAGTAACTTTACAAAACATAGCAAATTCAATCGTTTTTTAAAAAGCCTTTGAGATTTGTTTGAGAAAAAAAATTAGAATTAAACACACTAAACTATTACTGTAAGCACACTAAACCATATAAACTATTTAAAAAAAATTTCAACATTTGTCTATTGCATAATTACAGAATATGCCTTCAGTTTGATAAAACCGTATAAAAGTTAAAAAAAAAATAAAAATGAGGTTCCTGTGCATATTTACTCCAAATGCAAGTGTTATATTCAATCTAAATCAAGCCGCGTAACTGCATATGACATTTTAAGAGAGTTTTGTAATTTTATTTCAACAAAACTTTTTAATAAAAATGATGCCAAAAAAAACTGCTTTGATTAGAAAATACACGCTACCACTAAACCAGCCGTAAACCATTTACAGAAGCCCCATGCTAATCCCAGTAAAAACCCTGATTTTATTTGCGACATTATTTTCACACATTATCGGACCCAGAACAAATCTCAGCTCGAACCCAACCCCAGTAATCCCCGCTCAATCCCAGTCAATCCCAGCAGGGACCCAGTTGGGCTATTTAACTGGGTGTGTCATTTGATTTATATTGACTATAGATAAGTTAATTAAAAATATTTAATGAAATAAAGTTTTTAGGTTTTGAATAAACTGTTTATGTGTATTATGTCAACTACTAGCTCTACAAATAAAAAGAAATTAATTTCTCTCAAGGATTAAAAAAATGATAATTTTATAAAATAAAAGAAGTTGCTTAGTTTAGGAACGAGAAAGTATTGCTCATCAGTATCATCAACTTAAAGATCAAATGAATAAATTTAGAGAAAAGCAAAGGTATATTGTAAACTACATTTACTTTAATGTATATTTTCTAGCAAACTTGTTAAAATGTCTTGTATAGAATTGTACAACCTGAGTTATACTATATTAAATCATAATATAGTATATAGTAATTACATTTTAATTGAAAAGAGATTTTTTTAATTAGGCTGTTCAACAAAAAAAATTTTTTGTTGTTGTTAAAAAGACTTTAAAATTTTTAATTTAATAAAAATGATTAAACAAAAGGTAAAAAAATTACTGTTAATATTTGAATATATGTATTAGGAGTTGGAGTTAAGGTTAGCCTTAGTCTAGTTAACTAAAATTACCCGACTAACTTTTTAGTTAACTAAAATTACCCGACTAACTTTTTAGCTAATTAAAGTTAGTCAACTAACTTTTTAGTTAACTCAAATCAGTCGACTAAATATTTAGTGTAACTAAATTTAGTTGACTCAAGCAAGATTTAGTGCTTGAAAAAAAAAATAATCTTTTGCATAAAAGTTTTACACACGAGGAAGCATTATTAAGGCGATAAATATTATTTTATCGTAATTAAACACTTTACTAGTTGTGAATCCTAGAGCCCATTCGAACTAAACTGTTATTCAAAAGAAATGTTTTCAGCAAAATTCGATTATTTTTATTTTTTCCCAGCTCTGAGACAACTGCCTATAAAGTTGTTGTAACTGTTTATAAACATCCAATCAGCATGGAATATACAAATAATGCCCTTTAGTCAATTAAATCAAATATGGTACGCTTATTGAATGTTTAACTTATTTTTTTAATGTGCTGCTTCTTATAGGTAGTGTGCAATAACAATCGCACATCAAAAATAATATCTCCTGCCAAGGCCATACCGACGTGAGTATGGACACTTTCCCAGGGTTACAACATTCTGTCGGTTTTGTCGGTAATTTAGAAAATTTGAGACTCAGTCGGTTAAAACTGCAACTTGGCTTTTAAATAAAAAAAAGCCCTACTTTGGTGAGATTTTTATGGTAAAAAAGCTTATTTCATTTGCACCTCCCTTTCCCTACGTCTTTGTTGTTCAGTACAGCCCTGTCCTCTGCCATATTATAGGAATGGATTCAATCTCTAATTTTCACAACAAATCTATGACTCCCCCTCCCCACCCCTTCAAGTATCAACCTCTCCTAACGACTATTACAACCCGCAAGCACTATAGTAAGGCAGGCGAAAGTATTGACATGAACCCAAAAGGAAATCGTTAAATAAGTTGTTATGAATTTATTTATTGCTTTCAGAGTATAGTTGTTTGTCAGTTGGCAATACTTGCAAAATTTAAAAGGAAGATTGGTATTTGCATTTTTGAATGTAATATCCGCAATATAAGTTGTTGAATAGTGTATAAAATGTATCAAATAATACTTAACTGTTGAATAACGAAAACGTTTTATTAAGTAACTGTGGTCGCTTTTAAAACCAGGAAATTGTTTATGACATTTTAATTACTTGAAAAATGCAATGCGTAGTTTTTAAGCACTTTAAAATACGTGTAAAACCGGGTCGAAACAATTATCAATTAAAATTCAATAACTTTTTTATTATATTCATTTTTATATTTTTTCATTAGATAAATGTTTAAAAAAATACTAAAGAATATATAAATAAATATTTAAAAAAAAAAATCAAACTATTAAAATAATAAAGGTAAAAAAGTTTGCTGTTTTAGGCAACATTATAATAAAACCGCACACTCAAGAACATTAAAATCACACATTAATTTTTTTAATTTTCAATTTTTTCTTTATCTTTTTTTTTAAACACATTTTAAATTTAAAAAACTATATTAATTTTTTAATTTTTTGTATCAAAAAAAAAAAAATCAGTTTTACACAAAAGAGTTCGAACACTAAATTTAATATTTCTTTTAGAACAATAAAATATATTAAAAAATCTTATTACAAGAAAAAACTTCAGTATTAAATTTAATGAATTTTAACTAATTAAAAAATTCCAAATTTTCGTATAAAAACATCAACATTTGATAACATTCAGTTGTCATTCTGTTTCGCTTTGTTTACAAAGTGTTTAATGCATCAGAGAAAAGGTGTTTACTTAGTGCACTGGTAGCAGGCGTACATAAAATCATTGTTGAAATACAATACAATATTGAAAATACATGTTAATTTTGATACCAAAAGTGTAAAAACATTTTGCTCATTTACTGACAATTTTATATAACCACTAATTTCTCTTTTTAAATCCAAATTTATTATTTTGTCACTATCGTTTCCGGAAATATCATCTTCATCGTCAAATGATAATTTAAATTTTTTTAATTTGATTGTCACCTTTTTAAATGGAATTATATCACAAACTTTTTTTGTTTAATGAAATTTCGACAAAAATTCTCTAACGCATTTAAATTTTTTTTTTTCCTTGTACTTTTCCAAGAATTGAAAACTTTTATAATTTGGATCCAAAAAAGTGGCACATAATAAAAATGAATTATTGTAATATACGGTAGCTTACAGGGCCAACACAAGTAGGTAACACATAGAGAGTGCCGTTAAAATTTTACTTAATAGAAAAAGGAAAAAAAAATTCTTGTTTTTTTAAATTTACCTAGTGACTGTTCTGAAAATCTACATTTGCCAACTTACTTATCTAAAAGAGTCAAATTGGCTTACTAAATGAACTAAAAGTTCATTGATAGGATGTCACACACGAAACCAACCAACCCATCCTTACACCCCTTTGCGCTAGCCTTGGTAGCTTATTCAATTCTATAGATTTGTTTTTACCATGTTTACTTTTTGGATTTTTTATGAAAAATTTTCTTAAAGTATCTTGTTTATAATATTTTCTTGAAGTATCTTGACACTGATACTAAACCTTTGGAACTGAAAATTGAAAGAAAATTATTTTGATATTTTTTTATTATTGCCGTATTATGCGATAAAATAATTATGCATTTGCAATCTTATTCAAAAATTCTAATAGAAATGATATCATAAACTTAAATTATTTATATTATATATTTATAAAATTCTTTAGTTGGACTAAAAAGTCGCGTATATTTAGTTAACAAAAAGCTTAGTCGGTTAATTTTAGTTAACTAAAAAGTTAGTCGGGTAATTTTAGTTAAATAGAAAGTTAGTCGGGTAATTTTAGTTAACTAAAAAGTTAATCAGGTAATTTTAGTTAACTAAAATGTTATTCTGGTAATTTCAGATAACTAGAAAGTTAGTCGGGTAATTTTAGTTATCTAAAAAGTTAGTCAGGTAATTTTAGTTAACTAAAAAGTTAGTCGACTAATTTTAGTTAACTAAAAAGTTAGTCGCGTAATTTTAGTTAACTAATAAGTTAATCAACTAATTTTAGTTACAGTATTTTTAGTTTAGTTAGTTACAATTTTTAGTTTTGGTCACAACACTAATGTGTATACACATATTTATGAAATATTTTTTTTAATATAGTGATAAATTTATTGTTATATACTTTTACTAATATTAAAATATTTAAAAACAAATATTTTTAAACAATCATTTTTACATCTTTTTTTATTTTGCAAGAAATCTGTTTTTTTTCTTTTTATTCTGTTAAGCTTTTATTTTTTAATTAGATCTGAATTAACAACACTTATTGTTCAAAGTAACCCTGTTATTGATAGTAAAAGCTGTTGTTTATTTTTTAATTAGAGCTGAATTAACACTTAAAATTCAAAGTAATTCTGTTGTTGATAGTAAAAGCTGTTATCTATTTTTTAATTAGATCTGAATTAACAACGCTTATTATTCAAAGTAACTCAGTTATCAAAGAGCTAGAACGAAAGAAAGAAAAGGTTTTTTTTTAAATCTCTTTTATACTTTTATCTTTTTTATAAAATTTGAAAAAAAAAAAAGTTTAAAACCAACTCATGTTGATTTCTATAAAAAAAAAGATAACATTGGTTGTTATTTTTTTTGTTTTTTTTTCTTTGTATTTAAAAGTACAGTCTGCTGAACCTGTAGTAATAATAAATAAATGTATATAAATATCAAAGGTTATTTGCAGCACAATAATAATTTCTAATGTAGTAGTGAAAACCAAATGTTTAAGTGGTTAAATAAACATTTAATATTTCATTGATATAGTAATAAGTTAAAATGTTAATTTAGTTGGGTGGTTAAAAAAATAGGTCAGCATGTCTAATTTCAATGCTTTTATTCCATATTTGAATATAAAAGTAGTTAAAAATTTGTTTTAATTTTTTTTTATGTAGAAATAATACTCAGACCATTTGTAAATATTAGTGATAGAAGAGCATTATGAAAGGTCAAAAATCAAAATTTCTTTTTAATACCTTTATTTACAATATTATGCCTTTAATTGCAATATTATCAAATGTGTCATTTAGTATCTATATCAGTGGTGGCTAAACCACTACCTGCAGGCAAAAAAGTGCCGGCAAAGATTTTTTTAAATGCCCGTTAAACAATATGGATATTTAGACAACCATCTTGGTAATGTGATACTTTTATCTACCTCAAAAATCAATTCAGGCATCAAAAAACTAATTTCAGAGGGTCAAGTTCACCACTCTTAATAATTATATTGCTTAGATACAAATGATTATAATAGTTATTAGTCACCTATATTTTTGTTGAAATAAATTTTTTTTGCCTGCAAAATTGTTTTTCAACTTTTTTTTTGCCTGTCCTAAAAAGTCTGGCCATCCTTGTACTATATAAACAATATACAATATCAATATTTTTGCCATATTATTTTTGTTTTAATGTGAGAGATATTAGGTAATCACCAAAGTAGCTAAGCCTTGTCACTTTTTTTTTAAGTACCACATTCACCATTTCTTTGCATAAAGCATCTTTATTGTTTAAGGTTTCTTTTTAACATACCTTTTTTAAAAAAATAATATGTAAGTTTTTTTTGTGTGTGTGTAAAGTTTTATTTTAACTTAAATTTAAACAATTTAAACGTTATATTATTTGTATCATATCACATATTTATATCATAGTATTTATATCATAATATCAATTAGAGTAATTTTGTTTGAGCATTCAAACAATAAATTTAAAATTAAAACAAACCTTTATCTTGAAGTTTCTAGATACTAGTAGTTGCCATTGAAAAAGTTCAAGAAACTTTTTATGATTTTTAATTAATAAATTTAAAAAGTTTGAACATTTTTATTGAGTTTAGGCAAAAGTGATAATTGTCTAGCCTTTTTTAAAAATAGTGATTTACCATTTAAATTTTTTTTGACTTTTCAAAATAATCATGAAGAAAAAACTATTTTCTTTGATTGTTTTGTTTTGTTGATTAGTTCTAAAGGAGAGAGAGTATTCCAAGCATAGAGGTAGTTATCTTTTTTTGCCTTAAAACTAATATTTTATGCAATCATCAATGTTCACTTTTAAATATACTCATGCTATTTATGAAGCATAGGGGAGAACCTTAATGAATGGGACAATTATTCAATGGGATAAAATCAAATTTGCGTAGAAGCATCTATGGTTAGATATTCAAACTCCTGTGTTATGAAGTATTAGATACAGCCATTCAATAGATCGAATCATTTTTCCTATTATATCTAAGCATAATGGGATTAGCTGATATTGTGTTTTGAAGAACAAAAAGTAGTTTTAAAAAACAATTTTGTTTTTCTGGTTTTGCAGTGATTACTGAAGTTACAGAAAATTAAACTTCATTTTTAAATACACCATTGTCTCTAGTTTTAAAAATTTTACACCATTCACATTAAGGTAATGTTGTTTTTAGTCTGGCCCTTTATTTGTGGATAAAGTTTTCTTTGTCGATCAAAAGTGAATCAAAAGTGTTCTTTGTTGATTCAAGATGCAGCTAAAAATATAATTATCAAAATCAACAGTAGATAGAGCTTCAAAAATGGAAAGATCTCTAAAGCTGTCAGAAAACTTTAAATACATTATGAACATAAGAAATAGAAAAATTTTAACGCTTCTGATAAAGGTGCTCTTTAAGATTATTTGCATATGTCTTTAAATATGTGTTACGGTTTAACTAAACTATAAACTAAATAGTTAGCATACACGTATCGTGTTGCATTGAACTCAATAAATATTCCTGATTCATGGCACTTAAATAAAATGGCGAAAAAGCAATAGATCAACAGTTTTTTGATACGCCATCAAAAATCATCACTACAAAAACCAGAAAAAGTCAGCCTTGCTGGTGCAACTGCCTTTAATAAACATACTAAATCCATATTTTTTAATAAACATACTAAATCCATATTTTTTAATAAACATACTAAATCCATATTTTTTAATAAACATACTAAATCCATATTTTTTAATAAACATACTAAATCCATATTTTTTAATAAACATACTAAATCCATATTTTTTGATAAACATACTAAATCCATATTTTTTAATAAACATACTAAATCCATATTTTTTAATAAACATACTAAATCCATATTTTTTAATAAACATACTAAATCCATATTTTTTAATAAACATACTAAATCCATATTTTTTAATAAACATACTAAATCCATATTTTTTAATAAACATACTAAATCCATATTTTTTAATAAACATACTAAATCCATATTTTTTAATAAACATACTAAATCCATATTTTTTAATAAACATACTAAATCCATATTTTTTAATAAACATACTAAATCCATATTTTTTAATAAACATACTAAATCCATATTTTTTGATAAACATACTAAATCCATATTTTTTAATAAACATACTAAATCCATATTTTTTAATAAACATACTAAATCCATATTTTTTAATAAACATACTAAATCCATATTTTTTAATAAACATACTAAATCCATATTTTTTAATAAACATACTAAATCCATATTTTTTGATAAACATACTAAATCCATATTTTTTGATAAACATACTAAATCCATATTTTTTTATAAACATACTAAATCCATATTTTTTAATAAACATACTAAACCCATATTTTTTAATAAACATACTAAACCCATATTTTTTAATAAACATACTAAATCCATATTTTTTAATAAACATACTAAATCCATATTTTTTAATAAACATACTAAATCCATATTTTTTAATAAACATACTAAATCCATATTTTTTAATAAACATACTAAATCCATATTTTTTAATAAACATACTAAATCCATATTTTTTAATAAACATACTAAATCCATATTTTTTAATAAACATACTAAATCCATATTTTTTAATAAACATACTAAATCCATATTTTTTAATAAACATACTAAATCCATATTTTTTAATAAACATACTAAATCCATATTTTTTAATAAACATACTAAATCCATATTTTTTAATAAACATACTAAATCCATATTTTTTGATAAACATACTAAATCCATATTTTTTCATAAACATACTAAATCCATATTTTTTAATAAACATACTAAATCCATATTTTTTAATAAACATACTAAATCCATATTTTTTAATAAACATACTAAATCCATATTTTTTAATAAACATACTAAATCCATATTTTTTGATAAACATACTAAATCCATATTTTTTAATAAACATACTAAATCCATATTTTTTAATAAACATACTAAATCCATATTTTTTAATAAACATACTAAATCCATATTTTTTAATAAACATACTAAATCCATATTTTTTAATAAACATACTAAATCCATATTTTTTAATAAACATACTAAATCCATATTTTTTAATAAACATACTAAATCCATATTTTTTAATAAACATACTAAATCCATATTTTTTAATAAACATACTAAATCCATATTTTTTAATAAACATACTAAATCCATATTTTTAAATAAACATACTAAATCCATATTTTTTGATAAACATACTAAATCCATATTTTTTAATAAACATACTAAATCCATATTTTTTAATAAACATACTAAATCCATATTTTTTAATAATTTGTTAGTAGTTCAATTAAAATAAAAATTCAAACCTGAATGTATTTTTAATGTAGATGAGACAAGGTTAATAGCAGTTACAGACTCATCAAAAAGTTTATTTTAAATCATTGAGCTGAATGAGTTGGTCATGCTGTTTTAGCAGAAAGAGGAGGCGATGTTGGCTTTCATGAATGCTATATCATTGGTAGCAATTTTGGCTTTCATGAATGCTATGGGTAATACAGTTTCACCTGTATTTATATTTCTGAGAGTAAACTACAATGGTTTTATGATAAGTGGAGCACCGACAGGAAGCTTAGGTTTGTGTAACAAAAATAGTTTAATGACAAATGACAACTTTTTTATTAGCAATAAAGCACTTTGTTTCCCATACCAAGCCATCTGCGGATAATCCAGTGCTGTTATTAATGGACAACCATGAAAGTCTCATTTGAATTTATAAGATTTGCAAAAAAGAGTTCTTTGATTTTGTTAACATTTCCGCCACACTGTAGTTAAAGATTGAAGCCATAAAATGTTTCAATATTTTGGCCTTTTAACTCTTATTTTAGATTGGCTCAGAATGAATGGTTGGCTTCCAATCCTGGAAGGATTATGAATATCTATAATTTGCCTTAACTAGCGTGCACAGCATATAATATGTCACTCACAGTAAAAAATGTTTCAGTGGGTTTCAATAATGTGGGATTTATCCTCTCAATAGACAAATCTACAGGGAAAGTGATTTCATATCATCTAGTGTTAGTGACAGACCTCTTTCAGTCAACCAATCAAAAATTCAACAACCAGATAATCAACATCTAGACTAAATAAACAATCAAGGTAATTCTTTGGAATCATTAGTCAAAATATTTAGTCCAGAAACCATTCATCCATACCCTAAAACACCTCCCAGAAAAGACTCTAAAAAAATCAACAGGGTAAAACTACTATATTAGCTAAAACTCCAGAAAAGACTGTAAATAAGAGAAAAAATGTTGAAAAAGGTAAAAATAACACAAAAAAACAAAAAATTAAAATTAACTTCATAGAATTGGGTGTGTAATTTTTATTTTTTATTTTTTTATTATTATTTTAAAAATGACAGGGTTACTTTTTGTAAAGAATTTTATTGGGATGCATTGTTAAAAATACTTTAAAATTTTTAATTTAATAAAAATGATTAAACAAAAGGTAAAAAAATCACTGTTTATATTTGAATATGTGCATACACATATTTATGAAATATTCCTAATCTGCAAAAAAAAAATGTCTTGCTGGTCAGCATTGTTTTGAATGAAAAAATGACTAATTAACAGGGAAGAACTATAATTAACAAAAAAAAAAAAAAAAAAAAAATTCTAAAATTTTTGAAAAGTCATAAAAATTAACACAGAAAAGGAGTTTTTGTGAAGGGCATTTTTACAAAAGTCAGGCACTTTTTTCATACTTTATACAAAGAATGTTACGATAAAGTGTGTTGTTCTTTTCCTAAAAGACAAATGAGAAAATGACTAAAATATGTATAATTAAAAGGATTGCAAAGTGCATAGACAAGTTGTGTTCATATTAAAGAGAATGATAAAAACAAAATAGTTAAGGCGTACCATGAAAAACAAACTTTAATGTTTTACTGGAAGCTCGCCATCTCCATGTTAGCCAGTCTCTCAAAGACTTTTAAATATACGCTGCAATCTACAGACTTTATTCAAGCTGCAATCTACTAATTTATTCAAGTGCGTTTAATTCTAAATATTTTTAGTAAATGACATCATTTTATAGTGTTTTTTTTTTTTTTTTTTGAATCAATAATATCATTTTTTTTAAAATAAACATTATTTATCAATTGTATGACTTTCCTATAAATTTTATAGGAAGCTAAACAAAAGAATGTTTTTTTATAAAGTGCGAGAACCAAACAAATATAAGATTTTTATGTTAAAATATAATAAATATTCTCTTAAATATAATAAATATTCAAAAAAGACATTGATCACCTTATTATATATTCTGAATCTTTTTTCTTTTTATGTAAACAATGTGAACTTTTTTTCCAGTTTATCTAAGCTGTTTATCACTATGATGTTTTTGTTCTCCTATCGAAATGACATTTTACAAATTCTTAAATTTTTAATTAATAAAGATTTTTGGTAATTGACATCATTTATTAGAGATATTTGCTGAATTCTTAAATTTTTAGTTAGAAAATGTTTATAGATTTCACACTTAACAAATTTACATACAGCTTTTTATTAATTAAAGCATTAATGTTTTATGGCAAGAATTCAAGATAGATGGCAATTAAAATTGTCTATGTGTTGCAGCACCCATTAAAAAAAAATTTATATTTAATATTTCCCAATTTATGTTGTATTTGGCAAGTATTTTACATTAAAACATGTCTCTTAAAATTACAAATCAAAAATCATAAATGAAAATAAAAAGTTTTTCATTAAACGATTTCAATTTAAAATTTACTAGATAATGCTACACTTTTTAGCAATCTTGACCAATAATTGTTCAATTTTAAAAATAAAATAAAATAAGCAATACATGCTTTACAGAATAAATTTCATTAAATATATTCTCGCATAATTAAATAAGTATTTTGAGAATAGTTGTACCCAATGAAAAGTTTAGCAAATAAATGCTGTTAATTAAACTTTCATAGGGTTAACTCTTTCGCTACCAGCCGTTTTAACAAAAACCTTTATGCTGCAACTGCACATTTTTTTGAAAAATTTTTTTGAAAATTTTTTTGAAAATAAAATTTGGATAGCGTAACATTGATAACTAATTAATATGCTAAAAGTAAATCTCTTTAAAAGCATAACAAACTATATATCAATGTAAAGCTAAACAAATGAACTTTTTAATTAAATAAATTTTTAACATGCATCATTGAACAATAAGAAATGCAAAGTGCTTAAAACCATTGCTTTATAAATAGCTATTAAAACATTAAGTCTAAAACAAAACTTATTTAATGCATAAAAAGAATGTTTTTCTTCAAAAGACGTTTTTAATTACTTAGCTAAATACTTATACACTTCTACAAGTTAATTCTACAGTGTTAACGCTGCTTTATTTTAGAATTTAAAGAAGTTTTTTTTAATCAAAGACTACTCAAAAAAATTTATCTTTGTCAAGTGATAATAACACAATATTTTTTATAATAACACAATATGGCTCTTATTTGTTCTTGAATATGTAGAAAATTAATTAAACCTTAAGAACAAACAAATTATGTGTCTAGAGTGAAAATTAATGTTCAAAACAAGATATATTGTGAAGCATACTCAAAAGCTGCTACCAGCAGCTTGCAGTCAAAATTTGAAAAAATCAAAAGTTGCTGTCAGCGGCTTGCGGTAGTGTTAAATAATACAAAATGGTTTTTTTAACAAGAATCCTAATAAGAATAATAATCATTTAATAACAAATATAACACAAAAATAATTTATAGCAATAGACAGGCTTAAAGTATCTGCAATATTTTATTCTTGTTTTTAATGCGAACTTTGTGAAATTTAGAAAATAACTAAAGAAATTCTTGAGTAATTTATGATGAAACAAAATCTTTTATATAATAATAATAACTAAACAAATTCTTCAGTATACTATAATAATAATAAAAAAAATTCTATAATTTGATAAAAAAGAAAAAAAAAAAAAGAATTTTCTGATTTCTTATAGAAATTTTGCAAAGGTGTCATTTACTAAAACTCTTTGGAATTAAACGTGCTTGAATAAATTATAAAGTCTGTATATATTAAAAAGAAAAACAAACTTTGTTGTTTTACTCTTTTGAATAAAACAACAAAGTTTGGTTTTCTTGGTATACCTTTATTATTTTGTTTTACTTAAAAAAAGTTCTGCCTAAACAATTTTTTTTTATCATTCTCTTTTTTCCTGGTTTTAAGGACCTCAAGATATTTTATTTCAATTGAAACAAATTAAACCCCAATTCCAAAAAAAAAAACATTTTTGAAATTGAAAAAAAAAAATTGATACATCTTATACAGAGAAGTGAAAGAGAAAACTTCATTTTTTTGTGTTTTTGTAAAAAATGCATCATCAACCAACAACTACAAAATACTTGCAAAATATGCAAATGTAACTCAAAAAATTTAGTTATCATTATTGGATTCAGTGTTTCTCTTGTCAATGGTGGATATGTGGTAATTGTAATAGCAACAGCAAGAAACGTTACTATAAGTGCAAGTTATGTGAATTTAACTGTTAATATCTTTTACACTTCCTTTAATATACTTAATTTTTATTACTTAATATTTTACGAAAAGCAGTAAGTGTTGTTTTTAGTGTGTTAGTTTAACATATAAAAATTACATTTTTTATAACTAATAAGTTGCTTTTTTGCTAAGTTAAAGTAAATTCGATACTTAATAAGCTAATAATTATCTTATGTTAATGGAAATTTATCTAAGCTTTTACACTACACCATTTTGCTTTGCTTAAAAAAATCATATATTCTATTTTAAATCAAATTCATTAATTTTGGCTTTTAAAATTAAATTTTATAATTTGTTAGGTTTGTCAATATGAGGACATATTTATGTCTCCTTAAAATAAAAGTTTTTCGTGGTGCTCCTATTACAAACATGTATACCATATGCATAGCCTTTTTGGCGTCCCTATTGGTATAAACAACCTTTACTGCTTATCTTACTTAAAGCTTATGACTGACTTCCTTTCATTTTTCAATCTTTTTTATTTGTCCCATTCAATAATTTTTTTGTCCCATTAAATAAGTAGTTCTTAATGAATAAGACAAATGTGCTGGTCCAATAAATTGCTTTTTTTACCTATAGGCATATGCAAAGCTGGTTTTTTTGTTTTAGTACATCATAGTGCAAGAGTTAATGGTTATCCAATTGTTTTCAATATATAAACTAAACAACTTTATCAACTTAAAAAGAGCATTTCTCAGTCTCAGTCATTAAGGTTCTACCCTATACTGCCATTAACAGGATAAAGTTTTGGATTAAGGGTTTAATTAAATGGAAGGGAAAAATAAAAGTTTTGAGAGTCTTTCCTTTTAAATTTCTTGAGTTGCCCTGATTATGTGTATCAAATAAGAAAGAGGGAGGAGGTAAAGGCATCACCTCTCACTGTTTTAACTTTACTTTAAAATGAATGCATTTCTCTGCATAAGTTACGAACCAAATTAAGTAAAAGAGAAAGATGATTATTTATATATGCATATTCTCATTTATTTTGATAAATAGTTAATTAACTTAAATAATAACAATATTGAGAAATATAGTGCTCTATGCATATAAAATTTCTGAGGCAATTAAATTAGGAAACACAAGATTTTTCATAAGAGAATTTGTTCTAAACATTTCCAAACTATTTATTGAACTCTAAAGTATTATTAACACTTTTTGTTTTATTAGGGTGAAAAGATATTAAAGCTTGCTGAAAGGTGTAGGAAATTAGAGACAGAAGAAGAAAAAGTAAACGAAACTTGAACTTTGTATATTGATTTAATTTTATTCCTTTTTTTTTTTTTTTTTCGCTTGATCTTTTTTTTTTATGTGTAACAATATTATCTTACAATTAAACACAAAATTTATCATGTAAATTATGTTTGACAAGAATGAAAATGGATATATCAATGGATATATAAACAATGAAAATGGATATATAATATGGATATAAATGCATATATAATAATATAAATATAAAACTTTAGGGTATAGTTGTTTCAGCTATTCAACTATTTCAACTATTATACTAGTTTTGCTTATCTTTATACCAGGCAGCTTTTTCAGAAAAAAGTTAAAAAATGAAGAATAATAAAACAAAAGATTGGTGCCCCATTCCAAACCCTAAGTCAATGTGGCGGCGCTCCTTTGTGGCTGCAGGGTATAAAATAGTCAATGTATGTGCTGAAGCCTCTGGCAGCAGGGGCTTATAGTGTGGTATCACAGGGTTTATCTAAAAACGCATTTATTATTACATATGAATGGAAATGCCCTATATATATATATATATATATATATATATATATATATATATATATATATATATGTACATATATATATGTATATATATATGTATATATATATATATATATATATATATATATATATATATATATATATATATATATATATATATATATATATATATATAATATATATAAATTGAAAAAATATTCATTTTTAAATAAAATTTAAAAATGAATATTTTTCAATTTGGAAAATGGAATTCAAAAGTAGATAGGTGATTTTTGATTATCCAAAAGAAAAATTATAAAAGACAAGTTTTTCTTCACGTTTTAATTATTCAAACTTTGTAATAAATAAAAATTTTAAGGCAAAAAACAAAAATTCTTATTACATGTGATATAATATTTAAAGTTGTTTTCGTGACCCAAATTTTTTGATCTCCAAAGATAATGATGTCTTTTAATATTTTATTATCTTTTTGCAGGACTACTAAAACAACAGGATGCGAAACTCTAATTTCATTTAGTTTTGATGACAGGGCCAATGAAAAAAAAAAGCGAAACACTTCTATTATTAAACAAAAATATAATTATGAATAGAAATTTCATAAAAAAATGTTATGGCTCAATTATTTATCACTATTTTCAAACAAAAATTAAATTGTGTTGATTAAGTGTTAAAAATAAAACAACTTTTTACAAAGAAACTGTAAATTATCCGTAAATTAGTTGTAAATAATTATTTTTAAAGACAATGTTAATAAACTAATTAATCACTACTTATCATACTATATTATATTCATATCATAATAATAAATATATAATTATAAATAAATTTTAAATCATATAAATATAAAGCCATAAATACATTTCAAAACATTATTAATTATATCACCAACATCAAATAAATAATCAGACCACTAAATATTGAGTTTCATTCTTTTTCTGTCCTCAATATTTAATGAAACAATATCAGATGTATTATCAAGGGTCGTAACACCTTTCAAGAAACAGTTAGTTATTATTGAGATAACTTTTGCAATACCTATACTATCTGTTTCTAAATCAAATGGTAATGTTGAATGCAAGAATAAAAATAATTTCTTTAAATAAACAACACATTGAAAACGTTTTTCAGACATTGGAACGCTGTTAAACAGTAGATAACAAACACAAAGAAACTGGAGAAGAGTATCACCAGGATAATGCAATTTACCATGTGAAACATAATCTGTAAATTCAGAACTACCTGACTGTGATGTTGTTGTATCAACTACATGCTGCGGATCAATCTTGTGCTGTACATAACCAGCCATATAAACAAGGGCAGCATTCTCCTGATCATTAATAGATTCATTGTCTGCATTAATTAAACATTCATCTAAATAAATAATATCCTCTTCCATTAGATCCATTGTGCAACAGTCTGAATGTATGCGTGAGCAATGAATGTCAGTTTCATCCAAAGAAACTATTTTGCTGAATAATTTTAACTGCTGAAGGTGCAAACTGTTTAATACTTGTTCTGCTGAGATAAAATAATTTCCGCCACTTAGTTGTCTACAGATAAGCAAAAAATTTGCAAAAAGATATAACCAAATAAATTGAGCCGAGTATTAAATTATAGTTAAAACAGCAATTGTCAAATAAAAACGTATCGTTAAACTTATGTATGTTAAAAAATAATAATATAAGTAAATAAAATAAAAATAATATAAGTAACACAAAAATAATTTTACCTGCAGATGCCAAATTCACTTTCAAGACGATCTGTTTGAAAAATACCGAGAAGAACATATTGGTGATCTTCTGAAAGCAGTTTTTTTATTAATTCTACCAATCCTTGTAGGGTGTTAACTAAAGCATGTTTTTGTTTCTGGTGTAAAAGTATTATGACGCTTTAATCCCTTTCCCTCTGACATCTTTGAAGTTGCATCAGCAAATGCTAAAATTTCTTTAAATCTAAGGTCATCGAGTGTCTCGAAAGGAGACCTATTGATATCACTAAGTAAAACATCACAACCTTTCCTCCTTACATTTAGCATGTTCCATAATGAAACAATTGGTGTTAAAAACAGGCAGTGTTCTCAAAATTAGCTTATCTCAATGCTGTAACAGTTTTTTCATTAAATACAGCAACCATGTTTGCAACATTTTGTCTATCAATCAAACTAGGGTACACTGACTTGCGTGAAATCTTTGCAGTTTTGGCAACACAAATTTTCTGTAACAAAACTTTGGTAAACACTTCGATTTGTGGGATCGTTATCTGATAAAAGACACAGTAATTCTCCTCCTGCATCAATTATTTGTTTATTTATGTTTATAATCAAATCGTGAAGAAAGTGTACTGACAGTTTAAATATTGGTACAATTCTACAAACAAAAGAAGGTTTACCAAACATAGGTTTAATCATAAAGACTAATAATGTTTTTGCAATTTGAGTGAGATTGTCCTCACTATATCCAATAAGGTGTTCTCCTCTGAAACTAACACTTGGTTTAATATACATCTCATCAAAGAAAAGGCAGCAATGCTTTTCAGAACTATTAAAATTTTCAAAAACAACTTTGATTGTATTATTGCACTCTTTTTCATTTCCAACTTTTCCAACTCTGCCTAATTTTGAAATGAGAGTCTTTGGACTGGGCAAACAAAGCAAATTTCTTAGATGCCGATAACAACATCTGGAGGACAAATACAGTTCAAGTGCACGACGTATACATAAAGTAGAAAAGTGCAGTCCATTTGGAGAATAAGTGGTGAGGCGTAGTTGTTCAACGAGGAAAGAAATTTTTTCAGAAGTGTCACCGTATGTATTTTTAATTTGACTAATCAAACTTAATACCTCATCTTTTATTTCAGGACTAGAGGTACAAACTCTTTTGACAATATTTTAAAGCTGTGACCTCCCAGTAAGACAATGAAAAAAACTGAGCAGGTCATAGCAGTTAACTTTTGTATGTCTACAATAAATATTAACTTGATGTGAATGACAGTTAATTTCAACAGAAAATATTGTTTCAGGTAGACATGATCGAGAAACATCAAACAATATGACTTTTGAATTTTCAATGAATGCAAAGTATTGAGGATATCTAAAATAGATTTAATAACAAGTAAACTTTAAATCAAAACAAACAAATATCATAAAACAAGGAAAAAAAAATTAATTTTACCTTTTATTTCAGACTACATTATTTCAACATCATAAAATCTAATTAAATCAATTTGATTGAAATCATCCATTTCATCAGGTATTGCATTTCGTGATGTTAAAGAAATTTTATTCATATTTGTAGATCTTGGTTGTGTTAAGACTGCTTGGCGCACCATTGAAGATGTGCATCCAGGAAAAATAGATGGGGGATCAATAGGAACCTAAAAAAAAGATATTATTAAAATTATTCATTGTAAAACTTATCAATAAAAACAACTTTAAGGATGCTTACCTCAAACTTTGATTGAGGAGGCTTGTGCATTTTGCGGCCTGGTGGCCAGTGTTTTTCACACACACCCATATTTGAAGTTACTTTTTCAAACGCATTTGAAATAGATGACAACCAATATTGTAACTTTTGCGTGTCACTTGGAAACATGTAAACATGAAACTTTTCTTCTGAAGTTGATGTTAAATGATTTGTGGTACAATTAACTATTGAACATTTTCATGGCATGATTATAACTGATAATAGTAACACCATTATTATTTATTATAAATATGGCGTAACATTTTGTAACACTTAATAGATTCATTACTTAAAATAAATTGCTCAAATTAAAAACTACTTAATACAATTTTTTAATCTTTTATCTTTAATCTTTAATCTTTCAAAAATTAAAAATCTCCAGATTTTACAATAAAAATAGCAACTTTTTTCAAAAAAAAATTGCTATTTTTATTGAAAAATGTTGTAAATATCTTTGCTATTTTATTTTTTGAAAAATGTTGTAAATATCTCCCATGTTTCTACTGCATTAATCTATATTTTATCAGTACGATACTGATGAAAAATATATACATTATATTAGTAATATAAATTTATATTACTTTGATGTATTCTAAAATGTGAATATAATTAGATTAATGTAAGTTTTTCATAACTTCTTTGTTAAATCAAACTAGCATCGCCATTTACAATCGGCTCTGTCGTTTTTCAAATCGATGCTAAAATCTTTAGCATCGATTTGAAGTTTCGCGTATCATTATTTTAGTAGTCTCTGGTATTTTGGAAGTATCTTAAATTTTATGCCAAAGTGAACGGTGTTTTGAATTTTTGTGCGTGATTTAAAAGATCTCATTATTTGGAAAAAGAAGTGTTCAAAAGTTTTGATGAGACTGATTTTTTTTACTTTGCCTATTTTTAGGTTACTAAATTGCAAAAGTTTTTTTTTTTTCTTCGATGACATTTTAGCATTATTATTATTTTTTTTGCATCATGCACAGACATATCACGCACAAACAAATATTCATCCATGCATAAAAATTAGTTTCTTTAGCT